GGGGGGGGGAGGGAAAAGGAGTCTGAAAAAGAGGTCGGGCGACGCTTGTACTTGTGACTTCACTTCACGCACGATTTTTTACTCTCTCGAAGGGTTGGGACGCAGTTCCCTCTATGTATGTACAATAATATACTCCGGGGGTTTCGGGGTGAGATTTGCCTTTCTTTCTCGGGGCACTGGGAGATCCCGGGGTCTCTGCTGACCTCTGTCGCCTTTTGCGTGCCTCAACGCGGCGGTAGAAGATATCCCGACAATATGAACGATAATGGGCGCATTCAGCAAAAGTGACGCTCCACATTGTTTCGCGAGAATGTAAACCATTGGAGATACCCGACTGCCTATCTAACGACCGCTCGCTGAGCCTCCGTGAGCGCGATCGAGTCTCAACGATGTCAACAAAAATTCGAACTTTTTATCTGCGAGATAACGAATGCCGTTGTTCGAGGCACGCGTTTGCTTCGCGTTTCCAAAATCGAATATTATCGCGTTTCTTTTTTAAAGAGGTTCCGCGAAACTGCTGTCTTCCTGCGAAATGCGACCGATAAAGTGAGTGCGTGTACGAATCGACGAGACCTAATTTACGAACGAAAAGTATGATAAAACAAACGATAACATGTTTCTTTGTTGCATAAAAAAAAACTCTGATCGAGCGGAAAATTGCAAACTTTCGCTGACAATGGTGCACGAGACGTTCCGCGACACGTGTAAGGAAGAGAAAGGAAGGGAAGAAGCGGACAGCGCAAAGGGCCTAACGAATAAAACGAAAATTATGGAGCTTCAGTGCTCATCTTAAAATGGGCAAGAAAAAAAAAGTGTAACAAGGGATGTAAAAAGAAAATCGCCGCGTGGTGCTTACTGTAAGATTTATGCTTGCGTAAAAAATGCCAAAAAAATGGCACAGGCAATAATCGATTCTAATCGTGCTATCCTTTTTTTTGCCTCGTAAAAAACTTTGGGTCAAATTGCGATAAAATGACTTCAGTTAAGGTACTCAAAAAACGAGAATAAAAAGAAAAATATAAAAGGGAAAGAGTCGAAAAGAATAAGAATATGAAAATGAGTCATACAGTTTCTACAACAAAACATGTGTGTCTTGAAATAAAATCGAGGAAATAGTTAAATGTGTAACGCGTAAAATTTCATTACGTTATTATTTTTTTAAATACTTTTTTAAAATTATTTTGAAAAAGTTAATTAACATCAGAATAAAGGAAAGAGAGAAATAAGTAATTTATTGAAAAACAAGCAAATTCGCGTGAACGTGAGCCTCTCATATTTTTCGAACATCTTTCGAGTAAGCACCGATTTCCTTGCGCGATTTTATGAATGTTCCTTAGCAATTGTTACACAGAAGCTGCGTGGACATATGATGTTTAAAAGTGAAAGTTTTCAACTATATAACGCAATTCAGGATGTATCTGCGTTTATCTTCTTATTTTTATGGAACAGTCGAACAAAACAGACAAAAGATAAATGAGGGTGATTTCGGAAAAGTATCTCGAGCAAATTCGTGCAAAACGCATCTTTCCTTGCACTTTCTCCTCTGTTTTATCTTTCTACGATGCAGGGAGTAAACGGTTTTTAACGTCTTAAAACGTTTAGCTCTTCGCAAAAGAAAATAGTGTAGGAGGTGAAATATTTTTAGAATATTTTTCTCAAATCGGATCGATCGAACAATGTGTCTCTATAGGTGGCCTTGAAAGGCGTCGGTCGACATGAAAAATTGCATGTATACATAAATCAGAGTAGCCTTAGACTTAAAGAATTTCAGCGAGGGTGTGGAACTGGAAAAAGTCCGTAGAAATCCGGTTTCGAGGTGGTGCAAATTTTTTCGATTCCGTGCAGTCATCGCGAAACTGGTTTGTGCGAGCGATCGCACGACGGCTGTACAAGGAGGGGAGGAGGGGGAAGGAGACTCGGTACAAAAAACGCTTAGATCTCTTTGAAAGGATTTATTACGAGACCGGGTGCGCACGTCCGAAGGATAGAAGGCGGAAATCGGAGACGCAAATCTCGATTATGCGCACATCATTCTCTACGATCAAGGCGAAATTGGGGGAGGGGGGAAGGGGAGGAGGAGGTAATGGAGGTGGAGGTCGGTTTGAATTTTAAATCGAGTCGCACGGCGATTACGATTTTTCCAGTTTGCTAAAGTGAGACGTGAGTAACGACACTCTCGTCACTTTGTTTATAAAAAAACAAAAAAATAAATAAAACGAAAAGAAAATGAAGAACGTATTCGCTGATTAATTCAAGAGTATTATTTTGAACGTTTGATTGGCGTTGGGCGGAAAACAACAGTCGCCTGTCAGCGAGCAAAAATGAAAGGGTATCACGCACTTTGAAACTATTTCACGTGGAACGTTTCGGGCACGCGAATGTCGAATCGTTTCGGCGACTGCTCGATCGTGACAGCGCGGTCAACAAATCTCTGGATAATCACAGAGGGAAGGGGAGAAGGAAGGAGGAGAGGGGGGAGGGAGAAAAAGTAACAACGGGCGACGTACAAACGTAAGATATAGAGTGACCAATGGGAATGTGTTGAAAGTAAATGGTTATTATTTCGCAACAAATAGACCAAACGAAAATCAAATGAATAAAAGGCCATTTTATAGAGGAAACTTGTCAATTTTTTTTATTTTCGGACATTTGATTGGTCGTGAAATCGTCCCCCGCAGCGGTATCGAAGCGGACCAGTGAGTCGAGAACAACTCCGAGAACGATACCCGAACACATCGTTCAGATATTGTAAAAGGAAATCGAGACTTTGTTAAGCGTGGGACTTACTCGAACAGCGGTTTGCCGCGCGAGTGAGTGTGCAATAAAGTTTTGCGCGAAATGACCGTTTCGTTATTTCGGCATAACCACCCTCTCCAGATTCCAAATTTAATGACACGCGACCGAAGGCGCGTGAACACTTTATATTATACGGTAATAAAATTGACAAGTTTGCTCTATAAAATGACGTTTTATTCATTTCGCTCGGTCTATTTGTTGCGAAGTAATAACCATTTGCTTTCGACACATCCCCATTGATCGCCCCGTAAAACATATAGCCTCCGGGTAGCGCGAGACTCGCGAGATAGCGACAGTGGACCAACGGACCGTCGTCACTCCTCCCCGCTACTTTTTACTGTCAGAGGAACTTGTATACCAGAATATATACGATTAACCAAATATATGAATTCCTCTTGTTACCTTTCTATTTTCTTCTCTTTTTTTAAATTTTTTCCGCTTCTTCGGCACACGAAACTATGTACACGAGACTTCGCCCCTCTTCGCGAACGCCTCGAGCGCGACGGAATCGCGCCATGTAACGATCCCTCCCGTAAACCCGTAATCGAAATCTATCACGCGATATATAAGGCGACGGTGCCTTATACGAGAGAACACCATGTAAAAAGCATCTTTACCGTGTCGCCCGACGGTAAGAGGTCGCGAACAGTACGGTAAGGTCGTTGTTTACGCAGCTTTCTCTACGTACCGCTGAGACTTCACTAGGATGCGTGATCGCTGTCGGTGGCCGCCCGTCGACGATGGGCGCGCGAGCGCCTCAGGAACATGGTGGCCTCGTCTTCCTCGTCGTCGTCCTCCTCCGGATTTGTCTCGTTGCTCACGTCGGCGTTCAGCGACGAGTTGTTGCTGCCGCCGGAGTGCGATCTGCGCGAGGACGACTTGTTCATCGACAGATCCTCGGGTTCCGTTTGCACCGGCAACACGGCGACCGGGGAGGGATTCAGCGTCATCGTGGCCGCCGGGTAGACGGGCCCGTTCAGCTCGGGATTGATTCGAAGGTGGTGAGTCGCCAGTCTGCTGATCGGCTGATGCATTTCCGCGATGTATTTCCTCGCGATCCCTCCCTCCGGCTCCTCCCCCGGCGCCTGCTCCCCGTCGGCGTCGACGTCGACGTACTCCTCCGAGTCGACCTCGTCGCTGTTCAACGACGGGGGCGACTCGGCCTCCGTCGGCGGTGATTCCATCTGCGCCGCGCCGTTACCGCACTTGTGCTGCTGCAAATGGTGCCGCCTACGGAAACGCATTTGGCAGGTCGAGCACCTGAACGGCTTCTCGTCGTTGTGTATCAGCATGTGCGCCTTCAGCTGATTCGAGTCGCTGAACCTGGACGAGCACACTTCGCAGGCGTACGGACGCTCGCCGGTGTGCACGCGTAGATGACGACGGAGATTCGCCACCTGGACGAACTTACGTTCGCAGTATTTGCATTTGTACGGTTTTTCGCCCGTGTGCAGTCGCATGTGGGTCTTCAAATGATGGTCCCGGGTAAATCTGCAAAACCGAAGGTCAAGGATCAGCTCGACTGAGCTTGTTGATTTTAACGAAAGATGTCTGAAACCGTTAAGGTTTCGGCTTTTTGCCGATCAACGATTGACTTTAGGGATGAATTCTCCCAAGCAGAACAACAGATCATTATAACGTTAAAGTGAAATTTAATTAGAATTAATTCGTGACTGATCAAAAAATGACTTTTCATAATCATTTCGAAGTGATTATGATGTAATCTTGTCATGATAACTTTTCGTTCTGCTTGGGTCAGAGATGTGTAAATCAGGGTTTTTTGATGAATCGGATCGAATCGAATTAAATCAGATGGTTGAAAAATTATTTTTAATTAACAACATAATTATTGTTACGTCGAGTTTTGGTATAGATAATATATACTCTCTAAAAGTGAATCAGTGGAGTTATCACTAATTTTTAGTGTATATAATTTTCTAGTGGCATACTTAGAACTGTAGTAAATAGTGAGTATTATTTCGATGTTCTTTTAGTGATAATATATTAATTCAAACAGTGAATATCACTGAAACAATATTGAAATATTCACTGTTTATCACAATTCTAAGTATATGCCACTGGAAAATAATATACACTGAAAATCAGTGATAATTTCTGATTTACTTTTAGAGAGTAGACAATAAAAATAGATTGCAATATGTTTTATTTATTAATGGAAATGTGATTTCGTAAGATTGTCAATATATATATGTAATTCGAACTTCTTAGTTCTTAAATTTGGAATTTTTGAATAGTTCGGACTCAAATCATAGAAATTCAAATTCTTATCTGATTCGATTTATATACGAATAGTTTACACATCTCTAGAAATCGTATAAATCGTCTTTTCTTTCTTTAAATTGACATTACATGATAATGAACAGTTTCGCGAAGAAATTTCGTCCGTCCGTTTATGGCTTGAAAAAATCGCGAGTAAGAGACAACGTGCGAATCGATCGCGTAGAGACTCACCTTTTCTGACATTCTCGGCATTGGAAAGGTTTCTCGCCGGTATGCGTGCGTTCGTGATTTTGCAGCACGTGCTTGTATCCGAAGGATCTCTGGCACACTCCGCAAGTGAAGACTTTATCTTTACCGTCCTTCGCCGTCTCGGGGGGGCTGACGGGACTGATGCGGTCCGCCGCGACCTCCGCCTTCACGGCTTTTCTCTTCGCGGCGCGACCCCTCCTGACGATCCTGTCGTCGTCGTTGCCCGTCATATTGTTGTTGTCGCTGTTGTCGTTATTGTTGTTATTGTTATGGCTGTTGTTGTTGTTGTTGTTGCGCCGGGAAGCGGGCTTTGTGTTCGGGGCCGGCGGCGACACCTCTGGCACTGCGTGTAGGGGCGAGGGCGGCGAGGACGCGAGACGCGGCATCCAATTGCTGAAGAAATCCTGCGCGTAAATCGGGGGGGACGTGGCGGCGAGGGTGGCGTGTAACGATACAGGAAGTCTCGCGGCCATCAGGGCTATCCTCATTCTCGCCTGATTAGCGATCAGCTGCTCGTGGGTGATCGGTAGCTGTGTCGACAGTGCCGTTGCCGTCGGGTCAAATATGGGAAACATCCTCTGCGACGCGCTATCGAGCTGAGTGCTGTTCTCGGGGTCCTGCATCATGCCCAGACGCTGCTCGATCAGGAGTCCTGGACTGTAACACACAAACATATTGGAATTCGCAAAAAAAAAATTTCCAAATACTCTCTCGAGCCGTTCTTGACGAGACAAAATCACAATCGCACAAGGAAACGACAACGTATATATGAGGCGTTAAACACCGTTAATTCGTGCGTGACATAATTACGCATAATAATATTTTAATGATTAACACACGTAAAACGTATGATTACTGTACTAAAGAACACACTTTGTCATTCGTATTTCGGGCATGAAATATAAATGCACGTGAACAGATAATAATTTGGGGAATATCGAAAAAGAAAATCCTCCCCGGCACCTCGTTACCGTCGGGACAATCCGGCGAGGTTAGCGATCGTACACGAGGGGATAGATATCGGATGATCGCACAAATGTATACGATCTGCGAATCGAAAGACCTCTCCTCGCGCTTCCTCTCTTACTCGCGCTCCCTCCCTCCCTCTTTCTGTCTCTCTCATCTCACAGATGCTCTTCGCGTGCTTCTTCCTCTCTCTTCCCTACCACTCCTGACTTGCCCTCCCACACATGTCGCTGCTCGCACGTGAGGACGTTACTGGATCCTCCTCCATTCACTCACACTCTCGGCTACGCGAGAGTTCATTCATAAGGCTCCGACTATCCACCTACGCGTCTACGACGTACCGCCTCTTCGACTCGTCGGGGCCAACGACTTTATCAGCGCGCGAATATATTCGCGTTTATCAGAATACCGACGGCATCTCGAAATCGACAGCGACATCCGTCAGTGGGGCAGAATGAATTTGCAACGTTCTAATTCGCAACAGTTAAGAAACCTAGATTTTGACTGTTGGTTGAAATGAATATATTACGAGATAATTCAATTACAAAGAGGGTGTATAATAAATATGTACTCTTCGAAATAACGCATGGGAATACAAGGAATATGACGTAAATTTATGTTTCCAAAAATTACCTCAGATCTTATGTGTCTATGTATTTTCTGATAAATGTGCGCAATTAATTCATGACCGAACGGACACCGCAGCACGGGTTACTGCAAGTCTTTTTTTGAAAGTTATCTACGCGCGGCGAGAATACAGCTTCTAAAAGGTTGACGTCACGCGGGGCGCACCTTCGTCAGTTAATATTTAAGGTTTTCTTTTACACAACCCACACACACACACAGAGATACACAAAGATGTAACGGTAAAGGGTGCGAATTCGAAGGACACTTCCGAACGTGCGTTCGAGGGATTCGCAAAAAAAAATGTTTCCGAGTACTTTTTCGAGCCGCTCGAAATAAAATCGCGTGAGGAAACGATAATCGACAAAGATCCATGTTCAATCGCTGCGGGCTAATTAACGGGACTACTTTAGAGAGGCAGCGTCGTTGAATCAATAAGGGTGCGCGTACGATGTCTTACTCCCCCTTTCTTCGCGCCACCCTAAAATTCCCTTAACGGCGACCGAGATCCTTACAGCCTACGATCGCCGTTTCTTGGCAACGCGACGCCGGGAGTACCGCCCCCGCTTGCGTCTACTCTCTAATTGGTCGCAACCCTTGTAGTTCTATCGCGTATACTTTCTCCTGGAGATCCTATTAGAGGCTAGACCGTCTCAAATTAAACTATACCTCTGCATTTATTTGGCTTTGCTCGAAGAGGTAACATAAGTAATGTTCGCGGTTGACGAAAAAGTTCGACACAATACCTGTGCGAAACATTTGTCGAGTCGCAAAAGGGGTAAACAAACGTAAACAAATATACCGAGTCTTTAATTTTTCACATGCGGAAGTTACAATGCCGACAAAAGCTACCGCTGTCAATTGTTTTCTTTATTGATGGTCTTGTCGTCTCTTTTTACGGTTTTTTTCAGTACGTCTCGTGCCGTTTCTTTTTTTAAGTATTTTTCGCATAACCTTGAGTAGTTGAAAGTTTTGAAAAGTGTGTTCTCTTATATGCGGAAGCATTTTGTGTGTCATTATTTTTCTGAGCTAACGGCATCTTTTTTGTCTTTTTTTCGCATCATTATTTCCAGGTGGCATTAAATCAGCTGAAATATGTTTCTTCCTTTTAAATTTTACGAAATTTAATCTTTTTATGAAACTGAGATTTTTTCAAATGTTTTAGATTATCTAAAAATATAGTTATTATTTTAAGACCGTAACTTTTTTTAAAACCATTTTCAGAAATATAATCATTTTCAACGATAGACAAAATCCCGCGAGTCGCAACGCATTTATTTCATTTACATGAAATTAGAAATATGATTTTTAATTTTCGGCTATGCATGTATGACTGTTTTAACACTAAAAGCACTAACGTTTCTTACTCTCTAAAAGAATCAAGTGAATAAATTACTATGAAAATAAAGAAAATGTATAAAGGACATAATTATTAGAAAAATCAAAAAATTTCAAAATCCTATTTCTTAATACAAAAAATATAATTTTAATTAAAAAAATATTAAATTCTTTTAATGTTGAATAATTTAATTATATTAACTTAATGATAATTATTTCATTATTATTAATAATTATAAAAAAATATAATATTAATCTAAAAGAATAGAAATATGATCAATAATGACCGTTCGGTACTTTTAGTGCTGAAAGATGCTAGCGGTGCGTTTCTCTTTAAAGTTTAACCCTATATAAATAAGGGCGTTTCTGCCAGAATTTGAATTCATCACTGGAAGTGACGATTTAAATGCCTATATAACGGATCGGGGGAAGGTCGCGTCTCGCCGGTTTGAGAAAACGGCGCTTATGGAGACACGATGAGGTCGTTACGAAAGAGAGAAAGAGAGAGAAAGAGGGAAAAGCGTGCCGGGCATTCCGCGAGCAATCGCGGTGATTATTTTTAGACGCTCGCGCGTCGCGCGCGTCACGCGAGTCATTCGCGATACAATTTCATTTTTCCAACGAATCTCCGTCCCTTTAATTCGCGCCGGGAAATTCAGCCGGTTTCATCCGAAGCCTATCGATGTGTTTACGATGTGTCACAACGTACGTGCGTCGTATCGCCGTAGATGCTTTTAGATCCTGGCGATACGCCAGGAAGTCGCACGACTCTTAAGAAACTACGAAATTGCTCTCTCTCTCTCTCTCCTCTCCTTCTATCCTCCCCCTCTCTGACTCCTGTCTCTCTTACTCTCTCTCTGTCTGCCTCTATATATATTAAAGCGCCGACGCGCACCACCTACATTTTCACTTTCATTCGAGGCCAACATCCGACAGATTGTTAGATGCGATTAAAAAAAAAAAAGAAGAGGCAAACAATGCGAGGTCGTCGTAATAGCATTCTAATGCCACGTGATGTAACGGAGCTTTTGTCAAATTTCGCCAGAAGACAGGTTTTTACAATGAAAATCATTTAACAGAACCGGAGTCGCTTGTGCAAGGAGTATAGACAATGTTGAAAGTTACAAACCTAGGGTTAACACAACAACGAGCGAAAGGGGAGAAACTAAATCTTGGTAAATAATGCCTGCGGTGAAAATAAAGTTTGGCATTAAATTTCGGCACGCCAAAGAATGTACGGCAAAGAGTTATTGAAATTTGCCGACGAAACGGTACGGTCGGGTTGACCTTTCTAGGCAAGAGACAACGTGCAATTTTCACGGTATTTTTTTTTAAGATACTCTTCCATTTTTGCAATTTTTACGAAAAGAAAAACCTACCTTCATAAACTTGCAATTCGCGCGTACAAGGCAATGCCATGCTACGATGATCCGTGCGGCTGTCCTCACTTTGACATTCCTTCCGGTCTAATCGGGCACAACGTGATCACTCGCGGAAAACGAAGACGCGAGGCCTCGACGCGAAGCTGCATCAATGGCGCGACTAAAACAAAAGCCGCCGTCAGCCGCTGGTCTCGTTTGTCACCCCCGTTCGTGATGGATGTAAGGAACGAGCATCCGAGAGCGATTCAACACACAAGCGACTTATTTCCAGAAGAAAAGAAAACACCCGAGAAAGCACACCGGTAACGTATCGCGATCACGTGTCAAAGCGCCGCGAGGATGCTGCGCGTCTTCGGTCGATCGTCACAACCTGACGTACAATCGCACGAATCGGAGCAGAATCGTGCTACTATCACGCGGACGACCGACGACCGTCGAATGACGATGTATGCTCCGGGCTGACCTAACCCAATACTAAGTGACAAGCAAGTCGTCCGCTGCTAGTCAAACACATTCACCCCACCCCTGCACGTCCCGGTCCGGTCCCCCACGCCCGCTCTATCCCCCACCAGGCATCACGGCGCGCTACCCTCTCGAATCGCAACCCCGGATGCGCGAGTCGCCGGGACGTGCCGGGTTAGTCTGTGCGCGTAAGATGGAGTACGAGGAGCGAGAGAAAGTGAGAGAGACAGATATCGACTGAGAGAGAGAAAGAGAGAGAGAGAAAATGAGAGTGGGAGAGAGAGACGGGAAGGGGATGACAATGCGAGAGGGTGGGAAGGAAAGGAGAGAGATAGCGAGAGCGAGAGAGAAAAAGACAGAAAAAGTAGGAGACGAGGAGGTTCAGGGAAAGACAGGGTGAACCTGCGACCGTGATCTTTAAGAGTAGGGGTTGGCGCGTGTGGAGAGCGAGCTTTTTCCCTCAAGGAGGCGAAGGAGAAGGTGGGAGATCGCGCCCCAGTCTCGGGAAGACGCGGAGGAGCCCGAGGGAGGCAGGGAAGAAAGGGGGATAAATGGAAAGAGATCGCGTCGGTGCGTTTCGCACGATTCGAAAGTTGGGCGAAGGGTCGCGCGATCGCGTACGCTTCTTCTTACAATTAGACTCGTAAAATTGCGCGGCAAGAGTAGAGAAATTGAGAGAAATTCGGGAAGGATATCTCTCTCTCTCCGCGCGTTCGTGATCGCGCTACGATTAGCGTTGTCGTTCACTTCGCTCGATCGCCCGTCCTCGGGAGCCGCTTTTCATTCCGCGACGTAGACACATACGCGTGTATATACAATACATATGTGTACAACACTCGTTATTTTATGCCCGCTGAATGTACCGCTCTTGTGATATATTGACAGTTCCGCGCGCGCGCGTGTTGTACACCGGCGAGCTTTTTTGCAAAAGTTCGCCGCGGCTGTCAATATTTCAAAAGCGGTCGATATAAATTGCTCGGCGATACGTCGCGCCCGAAGAGTCTTCGAGGTTTGCGCGAAAACAGTAATGTAATGTCGCGTAAAAGGTACACAAGTATATACAGGATACAAAAAAAGAAAGAGGTTGCGAAAACTTCGGGCAAAGACAACGATCGCCTTTAACAAACGAGATTAATTTTACGATTATGACACAAAAATATCTCGAGAAATCAATGACGCTTCCTTTGATTCACAAATTCTTTAACGTTAGAAGTACCGATGCTTCTCACTCACTAAAAGGATCAAGCGAATAAATTATTATGAAAATAAAAAAGTGATGAAAAGAAAGTTTTTGAAAAGAATAAATTGTTTCATGGACATAAAAAATACAATATAAAAATTAAAAATAGCTTCAGAATCCCCGAATTATACTTTTAGATTTTTTTTACGCAAAAAATATAATATTAGTCTGAAAAATAGAAATGTTCGATAATGATCGGTACTTCTAGCGTCAATTGATTTTTATTTATTAACAAAATTCACAATTTTTTGCAACTTTCGAAGCTTTTAATGTTTAGTAATTACTCGTTAAGATTGATTAGGGTAAAAAAGAAAGAGGTTTATCATGGCCTAGAATTTAGATTTAAATTTTTGCAACAAGGTCGATCTTTGTTATTTCTTTTTAAAGTTCCTATTATTCTTTTCGCGATAAATCTTCAATTCTTTTTACATGCCGACTGTATTTTTTCTTTTCAAGCGCAGCCAACTTTCGCTTCCTTTGTTACTGTATCTAATTGTCAGTGGTGATCTATTTTAAAAACCAAGAAACTGTTCTAGAATCTGAAGTAATTTTTTCCTGAACGGTCGCGTCTTAGTTATTATGTGCAAAGGTTAGACAAGAAAAGAAAAGAAGTTAATTCTTTTTGTTTTTTTTTAGCTCTATATGTACGTATCATATACATATATGGTAGTTATATGAATGTTGATAATTTTAGATTATCAATGCGTGATATAAGCCTACATAATACTAAAAAGACATTTTTAATCTTTATAATTTTAAATGTTGCTACATGTGTGTGGATATGACATATGCCATACCCCCACGATATGTTAAAACGCAAGCAAAAATGGGTGAAGATATGGATTGGAGTATTCTAAGAAAAGTTCAATTTTCTAAATATATCTACAGTTACTGTCAATATAAACTGATAAGCGCTTTTACCGTATCAAGGAATGTTCGATGTAACAGAACGACGTAAGAAAACTGACTTCTGCCGTGTGATAACGGTGCGCCCTGGTGCCCCCTCTCCCTCCCCATCCCTCTACACACACCGACTCCCGTTTTCTTCCACTATTTCTTCTACAAAACGGAACCGGCTACGATAACCCCCGCGGGGGTCGTTCCACAGTGAGGTGGAAAGCAAGGAGAAGGGGGCAAGGAGGAGGGGGGATACAGAAGTGCACGCGTGCATCGCGCTCGCTCTTCCGTCTCACCTGCTCGCGCGCGCGGCGCGCCGCGCGCCGGGCGTGCGTAGCGCGTGCCTGCAGCCGAGAGCTCACGAGACGTCGCCAGGCTACCGTCACAAACACGCGTATGGCCGCGATAAAAAAGTGGAAGAATGCCCTGGCACGGCGCGACGTATCCCAGTGCGTATACTGGGTGTCACGCATGCACGCGCGCGCGCGCGCGTCCGCCTTTCGTGGCACGGGCGAGAGTGGCACGCACACGGTCACGTATCGTTCCATGCTAGCGTGACACGCACACATGTACGCATGCATACGTGATATAGACACGCACACGTGAGTACAAGGGTGGTTGCGAGCACTCCACCCTGTCAGCCGCCTGTCGTCGCCGTGGAGACAAGGACGGAGATTCGAACGAGCAAGAGAGAGAGAGAGCGAGAGACAAACCGGTAAGGGCGAGAGAGGAAGACGACGAACGAGAGAGAGAAATAGACGAAAAAAAGAGGCCAAATGTACGGGGAATCGGGGTGCGGGATCTGGGGCGATTGTCGAATTAGTGAGTCGGCCGATCCACAAGAGGCTCCTTTCCGTGTTACCGAAAATATCTCTCCTTTTCCTTTTTTTTTCTTTTCGCCTTTTTCCTTCGGCCGCGCGCGCTTTATCTGCGTTTGCAGATGCGTCGGATCGGAATGCGCGCGCCGATCGAATTCCGATTGAATTCTGATCGAATGACGGATTCTCTCTCTGCGGACTGTGATTCGGCGGATTGTCATTGTTCGCGTCGTGTACACGACAGTTTGAACGGCAATTTTATCTTTTTTTTTTCTATAAATTGAAATAGAGAGGTTGCGCTATTTATAGTTACGAATCGGCAAATTCTGATGACGATTTTCGGATCGTTGTCGAGCGGACAATCGATCGGGTGACTGCCGGGAGACCTTTTTTTGTTCGATGAATGTCATACGTTTTTGGGATTTTACGGACGAAGGGCGGCGAAGGGGCGGGACGCCCGAAGTGAGTGCCACGAGTATACGACGCGAAAGTACTTCCGCATACAAATACCTGACAAAATATTATGAAAAACTACGCGGGCAAACAACTGAGCTCTGTATGACTTGCGAGGGTCTCGGAGTGGATTAAAAAAAAAAAGAGAACTATCTCATCGAGCATCTTCGTTTATCGAATATTCGTTACTGTAAAAAAAACTTACAGAGAATGTAATAATAATTTAAGAATTTTAATATTTTGCATTTACATCAAACTATTAATAATAATAATAATAATAATTTAACTGTAAGCTATCGTATTATTTCATCATTACGATTGTCGAGACTAATAGCATGTGGAACAAAGTTCGTCTTCCATTCAACGGGTTTCGACTAATAAGTATTTATCCCTATTATCCCCTGACATGTACAAAATCCATTCACAATAGGCATCTTATTGGTCATTATTACAGCTCAATCCTTAAGCGTGCCCATGATAAAGAAATAGGTTAGTGCTTTACAGATCATTGTGAAATCCGAACGGGTTTTTAACCCTTTCGTATACCTGCTCCGAATTTTTCCAATGTCCTATATATATTTTACCTTGCGGTGCAAGATGACACGTCATCAGCTGAATATAATCTCATAGACCTGGAAGTACTATCGCAGGCTGTATCGCATTCTGAGATGCCTAATATCTTTTCAATAAAATTTGACAAATTTAATTCGCAAGATTATATTGCAGAACGTTTATTTATCAAGAGGGTTTTCTCATGTAAAGTTTTTGCTAACTCTTTTTTTGCATTTTACTTAAATTTTAAATGTTGATGTACAACAATATTTTTTTGTGACTTTAAATAATTAATAAAAACAACGCACATTACAAAAAAACTATTTTAAAAAAATCAAAAAGAAAAATAAAAAGTCTTTGCGAGAGATTCATCATCTTTATTTCTATCAATCTATTTAAATCATTGACTATACCAAAATTAAATAATTTTATTCCAATACGATAAAGTCATATTTATATATTATCTGGTCAGAAAATCGTAGCGCCTCAATTAATTTGTCTTTAATCTTTACAATCATTCATCAGAATTTTACGCAATGCATGCATTATTTCCGAAATTGTTTAGAAAGTTCAATACTTTAATACTTTAATATTCTAATAATTTAATGTAAAATTTACAAAAGAATCGTTAATATTATTTTTTTGTTTCATATATTTTTCACGAAGTGCGAACAATTATAAATATTTTATTACTTTGTTCTAATTTTGGCATTGTGAATTAAATAAATTTAGTATATTATTTTAATATTTTTTAAATGTATGTATGTTTTAAATACTTAATAAAATTATTTTTAATTGCAGGATAAATAAAATCCGTCATCCATAAAAAGGACCTTTGCGAAAATATATGCGTTACCCAGACAATGGTAAGCAAATTA